TCAGGCTCTTTTGCCTTCTCACTACTGTTACTTTTAATACTCTCTGCCACTTCACTACATGATCCTTCAGATTTTTCCTCATGCAGCTGCTCAAGAATAGCTTGACCCTCACTTACAGCTTCCTGGCATTTACCATCTGTTATACATCCTCTAACTAACTTCCAAAGTGGTATAATGCCACCCTGCAAGGTACCTTGCTCATGAGCGAAATCTAGATCTTTCCCTAATTTGTCCCAGCTGGGAACCGTAAGACTCCCTGAAAAAGCAAACCAAGGAGCCGCTATATCAGCTTCTCTTAAAAACATCTGCAAAGTACTCTGCTTTATCTTAAGTCCTTTTGAATGTAACAACCCATCTAGGGCCAACAAAATTGGGCTTGAAGAAGCAACGCCCATAATGTTTTTAGAGCTATAAAGAAAGTGAAAGTACAAAAGTCCCCGCTCTCTTCCTTTTACAGGGGAGCGTCCCTGTCGTCACAACAAAAGAAGCACAAAAAACAAAAGCGAAAGTAGAAGCGAAAGTACACAGTGCAGCTGCAATAAAATGTAAGGCTCTCTCTGTGTTTACAGAGGAGCTGCCCCGCTTTGGTCGCGGATCCCACTTACCAGGGACTAACCCCGCTTTGATCGCGGATCCCACTTACCTGGGACTAACCGGTGCACCACCCCTGACTGCTGAAAGTTCTGGTTCCCGGGTCTCGGCACCACTTGTCGCGACCCCTTGCCCGCAAGGAAGACGCAACTCGGGAATCTTCTTTCAGCAGTTTATTCAGGTCCTTGATATTTCTTCTTCTCTCTCGGATGCCCCTCCCAGCCTTAATAAAGCATCCCAAGCCCCAATGCAAAGCTGCTGCGTGGAGCTTTCTCACAGGGTGGTGAAAAATCATGTGCCAACTTTCCCAGATAAGGAGTTGTTTGTCACAGACCACAGCGGAGCCAGCGTCATCTTGTAATGGCGACCATAATCTGCAGAAACGGCAGAAGCGGCTCACCACACTTATAGCATTAAATGTACATTTTAAAAAGAAAAAAAGACGGTGGAATGAGATGGACATCATTACCCCCAAGTACATGTATGAAGACACAAATGGTGTGATTCTACTTTGTGTACAACCAGAGATATGAAAAATTGTGCTCTATATGTGAAATATGAATTTGTAATGCATTCTGCTGTCATATATAACACATTAGAATAAACTTTTTAAAAGTTAAAAAAACATCTAAAATCTCTGTGCAGTTGTGCTTTGCTTACCTTATTAATATCTGTTTCCAAAACATGGAGAAACATAGATTCCTCCACAGGTAGCACAAGGACAGAAGGATGAGAGCCAGCCAACACAAGAATAGGAATTTTCAGAAAGTAAACTAGCCCCTAGGCTTGATTCCCAGCACCATAAAGATAAAAGAAAGGAAAATAAAAGGACAAGCTAGAGCTTAGCAAGTCTCCCTGGACAAAGAAGTAGTCCACCACCAGAAACTGGGGACCGAGAGTATGTGCCCTTTCTAGACCCCAGGTCCAGGCCTACATCCCAGAACTTCAACACAACACTAGAGGCTTTGGGGAGAGGTGGCCAAAACCTATGGGAGAAGAGCCCATATTCCTCGACCACCCCATCACTAAGCACAATTGATCTGTCTACCCTCAGGTGCCCTTTGGATCCCTCTGCCCATACTTTCTAACCACATCTTTCACTATACCATATATTTACCTCAACAACATTTTATATTTATTGCACCTGCTACCTAGATATTACAAGAGACCTTTTTTCTGCTTGATGATCTCTCTCTGAAAAACATATAACCTTTGAAAACCTCACATGCCCACAAAATCTACTGTGTCTTCAACTATAGCTTCCTCCAAAACACAATGCTTTTTTTTTTTCCTTTTTTGAAATGTGTGAAGCTAAACATATACTCAGCAGCATATATATTCTAAGAGATCCATGTTTACCAAAAAAAAAAAAAAAAAAAAAAAAAAAGTGTTTTAGTCCACAGTCATCCGAACTAAGAAATAGAAAGCAAGATAGGAGGAAGACACAGGTATGGCACACCCATAGCAACAACTTAAACAATGTTTAGTAATTCTTTCTGCCCAAATCCCTAGTAAGCTATTCTGCTTTTAAAAGCTCTCACTACAGCTCCTTCTATCCACACAATGTCCACCCTGCTACTCCTTCACTGTTGTACCAAATCCCCTCTGTCCTTTCCTCAACATTTTAAAATCTGCCTCAATTTCACAGAAAAATTGTGCTGGACAACAACCTGCACACCAAACCCATCCTGATTTAGGAAGTAGGCTTCTTTTTATCATTATATTACCTCTTGTGAGCATAACTGAAATTATATTTAGTAAAGTCTTTGTTTTGAAGCACACCTATAGTTACTTCCTCCATAAAAGGCTTTATGATAAGTTTTTCCATCCATTTTCTTCTAACAGGCCGATTGGTTCTTTTATATTTTTTTGTTTTGGGGTTCGGTTTTTTATTTTGTTTTGTGCTGGGGATCAAATCCAGGACCTCAAACATGCTAGGCAAGTGCTCTATCACTGAGCAATGCCCCCAGACCTCTTCTATATTTTTAAAACAAGATGTTGCTTATGCTGATGTTGTTTATATGTTTGTGTTATCTTCCTGTGTTAGATGTTTAACATTTATAACCCCCAAAGCTCTGTTCTTTAGATTATAGACAGCTGAAAATAAGCCATGTGTCACTTCCTTCCATTTCTTGCCTGTTTCCCCACTGAGTCTGATGTATCTGCCTTGGTCCCATGACACCCTCTCCTTTCCTTTCCTGTTTGATGAGGGCTTTCCAGTAATGACAGCCCCTTTCTCTGCTTGTCTTCTGTATCCACAGCTTCTCCATTGTCTGCTTCAAGACTGCCTCCTCTTATCTACCCTCCCTTGACCACAGGAGATCTGTGCTCTTCAAGAAAATGCCTCCACAGAGCCTTTGGGATTGTTGTTTGTTGTTGTTTGTCTATACAAATCTAGTGCTGCAGCCCTGAAGTCCCAGGACTGAGAAATGTAAAAACATCCTTTAATATCTGAGCAAGATAACCTTCACCAAATATTTCCAGATGTGAAGGGGTTAATAAAAAAATGGCACGTAGAATGTATTCTTCAGAAATGGTGTATAAAAATAAAGGCTAAGAAACTTTTCCTGATTAAAGGAGACTAAAGACACACAGCAACTAAATGCAATGCATACACATGATTTTGTAATATAGATTTAAAATAAAAATAAAGCTAGATACTACTGGATAAACTGACACAAACAAATGAAATATGGATGAGATATCAGCTTAAAATTTTATGCCAGTTAAATTTACCAAAGGGGATAATTCTTAATGTGATGAATTTTTTTTTTATATATATACACACATATACTTGCATTTACTTCCACTCACATCAAGGAACATTGAAAGAACACAGAGGAAACTACTGTTTACCTGTAGGGCAGGGTGTGGGGAAGGGACAAAATAGGGGCAGTATTGTTGCAAATCGTCTTGGGCACACCTTTTTATATATTATTGAGCCAAGTGAATGCATAACTCTTTAAAAATTAATATAGTTAAAATTATATTATTTATTTTTGGGGTATCCATTTTGTGGTAGCCAAAAGCTGAAATGGAAAACAGTAAACTACTATATCAATTTCTCTGAGGTTACTTGCTCATATTTACTTTTTCCTGGGCTCAGAGATGGACCAAGTCCACCATACTTGAGTTTCTACTATATTTTAACTCTAGTGCCCATTATTGATTTAGTCTAGAATATTTTTCTCCCCCTAAAATCTCCTGTGCCACCTGTTAGAATTTTGAGTTCTCTGGCAAATTTCTAAGCATGGCTTTTTATCTTCTTGAAAATAGCATGTACATAGTTGTTGTACAGTCTGTGTCCAAATATCCCAGCATCTGGAGACCCTGTTGTGTGTTATTTCTTCTTTTCTTTACTGTCCTCCTTCTGGTGCCTGGTTACCTCTGATAATTTGGAAGACATATGCAAGAAAGTATCTGTAGAAAGAAATCAAGGTCTAGGGTGATATTCTCTTCCTCCCAAAAGAATTCTAGTTTTTGATACTAGCAGTTTGGAGTCACCTTAAATAAGTTCTATGCTTGAGCATTTTGGGCCTTGGGACTTCCAGTTGCCATAAGCCTTTAAAGGATGCCAAAATTCAGTTTAGATTCTCAAACCCCCTACAGAATCAACAAATGCCCCCTTCCCCCAGAACAAAAGCAATCCCAAGTTCCAGGCTTGTGTCCACAGATTCCTTTCCCAAGTTTTGGCCTAGCAATTCCTTACTAGTCCTTTGAATTTTAAAATATTTTATCCAGCTTTTTTAGTTGTCTTCATCTGGAAGATTGGTCTGAATTACTCAGTCCTTAATGAAAGTAGAAATCCTTCTGATCCAGACCTCAGTTTTTTAGTGGTTTACTTTTCTCTGGACATGAGCTTCTTAGAAAAAAAAAAAAAATTCCTATTTCTTTTTTCTTTAGGAGTAAAGTCTACATTGACTTTTGTGCACACACACACACACACACACACACACATTGCTTCCCTCACCTGCAGTCTGGGCTGGAAGAGAACCCTGCATCCTACACACCAAATATCCCAGGAGAGCTGAGGTCAGAGTGGCCCTCCTTACCAGACTCAGAAACAGCCTGTTGGTACAAATATTCAGGTGGGGCCTGGAGAAGGCAGGTGCACAGCCGTGGCTTTGATAATTTTCTCTTCAGTACAACACTAGCATGAGGAGCAGCCCTGGGTATAAAGGCCCCTGATAGGTCTCAGTTTGCAGAATAGGACGTGACAAGAAGATCGGAGCTGCAACCAGCTCTAGAGAGAGAAAGAGGAGCCAAACAGAAAACAGAAGCTAAATGATACATTAAAAACCTGTAAGTCCCCCCACGAAGATTTCCTCTTCGGCAGGCTTCACTTTTAAACAAAGCTTTTTCATTCCATTGGTTTGGGGTGAACTGTTCCCGGAGATTTTGCTAAATGGATCGGTATGGGGCGAATTGGGTCCGCAGGGAAGAGTTTGTGGAGGCTGGTTTTCAGAGACTGCCTCTGTTGTAGGAAATCAAATGTAAATCTTCCCAGAGTCACTTACAGTACTTGTTTTTGGTGACTACTCTCAGTGGCCACTGGGGATTGCCTTCCAGGGTTCTGGGCTACGGTTTCCTCATTTGTAGGTTGGGGATCACTACTCTGTGAGCGATTCAAGGCGCGCAGACCCAGGTGAGGCGCTGGCAACCCGAAGTCCGCCGGGTTAGAGAAGCCAGAAGGAGCACGGAGACCAGAGAGAACCGACTGGCGGTGAGAGGACAGTCCAGCATCCTGGCTGCGGGCTATGCTGCCGCGACAGGCTTTGTGAGCCTAGAGGCGGCACAGGAAGTCTCTCCCTTTGAAGGCCGGACAAGGAGTGAGGCAGCTCTGGTGACAGTTGCTGGACGTTAGGGTGGTTGGGGCAAAGCTGTTGGTGAGCACGCTCGGGAATGAACTGGGCGCGCGCCCCCACACCCGAATGGCTGAAGGTGTTTTAAAAAGCCTATTTGAAAAATAAACAATCTGGGAGTAATCTTGATTATATTTCCCCAGTTGAGGGGGTTCATTTTTGTTCTGCTTTTTTTTTAAATTTTTTTATTGTTGGTTGTTCAAAACATTACATAGTTCTTGATATATCATATTTCACACTTTGATTCAAGTGGGTTATGAACTCCCATTTTTACCCCGTATACAGATTGCAGAATCACATCAGTTACACATCCATTGATTTACATATTGCCATACGTGATGAAATATTAAGAAAAACGACCTATATGACCTATATTCTCAAATATTCTGGAATAAATGTGTATTTTTTGTGAATATATGTCATACATAAATGAGAGATTGCTAATGGATCAAAATATTAACAATAGGTAAATCTGTATAGCAGGTACACTATTTTCCCATTTGTGCAACTTTTCTGCAAGTTTAATTACTTTCATAGAGATATTTTTCAAATGGACTACCAACTATGTTGTTCTCATATTTAACCTTTGAGATTTTAAATTCCCTCAACTGTTCCCACGGCACCCGACCCTCAGTAATGCTCAGTACCTGCTTTAAAATACTTGTCTCAGGTTCTACCATGGACCTAGGATTTTTTCTCACATGTAAAGCAACTAATATTTCAGTAGAGTTTTACAAAATACTAGGGAAGAGAACAAAACATATATATTTTTTAATGATACACAACGTAAAACCAAAGAGCCAAAATTTTAAGAAACTATGTTTACATCATATAACTCCTATTTTCTTTCCAATTTGGTACCACCTAGTCACATGTCTTCTGGGATTTTGTGGTAATTGGTTTTCAGATGTTTTTTCTGCTTACTAAGTTACTTACCTCTTCTTCACAGGATTCTCATTTTCAAAAAATGCATTGACTCCCTTTGTAACATCCTCTCCTTATTATACTCAAGCAATTTTTCTTTTTAAATACTTTACTTTTTAAACAATTTTTTTAAAGATATATTCTGTTATATTATGGATCTGCAATGTCGCCCTAAGCCAGCAATAATCAGAGGTAGAACTTTTGGGAAGTGTTTAGGTCATAAGGGCTCTGGCCTCATCAGTCGATTAATCCATTGATGGGTTCATAATTGAATACACCATTGGGAGGTGTTGGAAATTGTAGAAGGTGGGGCATAGTGGGAGGAAGGAAAGCACTGGAGGCATGCGCTGACAGGGTATATCTTGTCCTTGACCCCTTCCCTCATCTCTCTACTTTCTGGCCACTATGAGGCAAGCAGCTCTGCTGTGCCACATGCTCTGCATCATGATGTTCTGCCTTACCAAAGGCCCATAGAAATGGGGCCAAGTGACCATGGACTGAAACATCTAAAACCATAGCCAAAGTAAGTCTTTTCTCCTTTATGCTTATTTTCTCAGGTTTTTTGTCATAGTAATGGAAAGCTAATCAACACATTCACATACATAAAATTCAAGTGTATAATCAATGATTGTAATGTATTTACAGAGTTGTGCATCTATCACAAGTGAATTTTAAAATATTTTTGTGATTTCCAAAATAAACTCTGTACACTTTAGTTAGCATTCCTCTTACCCCTCATTCTCCCAGCCCTAAACAACTACTGCTCTATGTTCTATCTTTGTATATTTTCCCTTTTCTAGATATTTCATAAGACTGATATCATATGTGGTGATTTGTAATCGATTTCTTTCATTTAACAAAGATTTGAAGGTTCATTAATTTTTTAGCCTACTTCATTATTTTATTCCTTTTATGGATAAATTAGATTCTACTGTATGCACATACACCAATTGTCCATTCATTGGTTGGTTATGTTGGTTGTTTTCACATTTTGAATATTATGAATAATACTGCTATGAGCATTAGTGTACAAGTTTCTGTATGGATTTGTTTTCATTTGTCTTATGTATATACCTAAGAGTGGAATTGCTGGGTCATATGGCAATTCTGTTTTTAACATTTTGAGGAAATGGAAAACAGCCACACAATTTTATAGTCCCATAGGAGTGTATGAGTCTTCCAATATCTCCATATTCTCTTAAACACTTATTATCTGATTTTTTATTCTAGCCATCCTAGTGTGTGAAGTAATATCTTGGTGGTTTTAAATTATAGTTCCCCAAAGATTAATGAGTTCAACTATTTTTTTCATAAAATCCTTTATTTCTAATGGCATTTAGGGAAGGATGGTCCCCCAACTGTTTGACTGTATAATACAGTTAACTAGAAACATAATTCATTTTAATCATGTGAAAGGAAAAATTTATTTTCTTCTAAATACTTGTAAGCAATTTATATGTTTACAATCTCAGGTTTTTATCTACACTGTCATGGTTTAGATATTAGTTGTCCCCAAAAAGTTCCTATGTTATTGAAGGAATATTTAGAAGTGAAATGATTCGATGATGATAGCTGTAACCTAATTGGAACATTTTAGTTTGAATGGACTGAGTGTTAACTATAGGCAGGAGATGCATGACTGAAGGAAGTAGGTACTGGAGATGTGCCCCACAAGGATTTGCCTTTGCTGCAGCAGCCCACCCTCCTTCCCTACTCCCCTGCTTTCCCCCTCCCTCCCTACTTCCTTCCTTCCTGGCTGCCATGAATGGGTGAATGGATCAATGGATCAGTGCTCCTCCACCTCCTCCACCATACCCTTCTGCCATGATGTTCTGCTTCACCTGATACCCAGAGTCATGAACTTAGCGGACCATGTACTAAACCTCTTGAACTATGGCCAAAATAAGTTTTTTATCCTCTACATTTTTTCTGTTAGGTATTTGCATCACAAATATGCAAATTTGACTGACATACACATGTACAGTTTACTACTTCTATTCTTTTTTTCATTTGTATTTTCTATGTAGTTACAAGAAGACAATATTGTGCACTGAATTTTGTAAGGTTACTTCTTGAATGAAGTTGGGGAAGGAATTGAATGACTCCTCAGTGTTAAAAGGCAGAGCAGAACAGATTGTCAAATTATGCTCACTGTTTTTAATCGCCAATGCTATATACCTGTGTTCTGCATGTGTCTCTTGTATGATAAATATCATGGGAATATGATTGACACAGCCTACATAGCATATCACCTGAGAGATGGACTTTTAATCTTAATATAAAAGATGGGGGACACCGCACATGTCAAATGATAATTATGAAAGTTGAGTATAGGGTGCATGGGGAGTTTTATTGTTTAATCCATCCCTATATGTTTAAACATTTTTGTAATAATCTTTTTAAAAGAGAAAATGTTGACTGCCTCATAAGGAGAGGGAAAGACCAAAAAGAATGGTTGACAAGGTTGGGACAATCTGTCAAAACTAGATTTGAGCTCTCAGTAAAGACATTCTGGGAGTGTAATTCCTTTGAGGTTGGGACCTTGGAAGGAAAACATTCTATATAACAGGAAAAAAGGAGGAAAAGAGGAATTGATAGTGAAGTGTTTTTCATGCCAAGATCCCATATGAATGGCTTCAGTTCCTTTGTGATTTATGAGTCCAATACATCTGGTAAGTGGAGATGGCCTCATTTTGAAGAAAGTGCAGAAGGTTTGAAAAAAAAATGTGAGTAGTATAGAAGAGTGGATAAGGAATCAGTGACCTAAGCTCCATAAGGCTTGTTAACTGAAACTAAGCATAGAATAATAACTTGGGGGAATGAATGAGTGAATTATCTCTATTTAGTGCTAGTGTGTATCATGAATTTAGGGTGGTTCTAGTAGATTTATAAGATTTAAATCCAACAGCAATCAGTCACTTATAGGAAGACATTCCTGGAAAAGGTAGAGAGAAAGGGTTTGGCCAGAGAGTAAGGATTAAATGGGGTTGAATTAGGCCCATTTGGAGCAGTGCTAAATGTAGGTTGCCTGAGAGATCTTGAGGCCTACCTTGAAGAGGGAAGAAATAAATTAGTAGATAAATGAGTAAGTGCAAAAAATAAAGACTGGGAGTTGGAAAGCTGACAAATTGAGGACCTATAATGGAAGGATAGAGGGTGAGGTCAGAGGGAAGAAAGTCAGGCTATATTACTCCAGCGGCAGAGGTGTTCCTGGACATGGCTGTAAGTGAACTGGAATAGAAGGACCCTAATATGGGTTAAAAGGAACTAAGAGGTAAATTATTGGCAGGTCTCTCCAGATGGATGTTGGTGACTGATTCCTTACCCCTGCAAGTCCCTTGCCCATGGAACCCCTGCCACTTTTTGTTCTTCCCAGAGCCTCTGCAGAGTCTACTGTCTGAAACACTAAGCTTTAGATACTGCAAATCAATGGCATAACTCTGGAGTAAAAGAAGTATGGTAGAATGCAGGGGCTTTGGTACATATATCTTTTTCATTTCTATTTTTACATCCAGTATTCATAAATGTCTCTGGGAAAAAAAATTCAAGAGTACTCTGAGACAATGAAACCCATTATTTTGTATAATTAAAATGCACTAATTAAAAAAAAAAGCCTCTGGGAAACTCAACCCATTTTTGAGTCCCAATCTGTGCAAGTGCAGTTGCCTTCCCAACAGACCCCTATTTTAACAATAAATGTGTGCTGAATCTTGGTTAAAAGGAGCATTTTGTGCAGGTCTGTGATAAACCCTCAAATATCTGTGACTCTGGTGCATGGTCCAGGACTCAACTCTGGACTGTGAGCTGCAGGTGATGGAGGGAGATCTACCATGTCTCTAAGAAGCCCATGAAAGTCAAAAATGACGTCTCCATCCTGGAAAGTGAACTGTACACACTAAGGGCAAGATCTTGCATGTTGACACCAAGGTTACCCCTTAGCCCCACCCAAAAAGAGGTATGCTATGTTTGACAACAGCCACACAACCTCATGTACACTTCTGCCAGTATGACATCAGTAACCACTGTAGCACCTGATGAGCCTCAGGGAAGTGCTGGCAGGATCACACTGGGAAAGAGTAGTTGTTCACAATGTGGAGGTGATGAAGCATAATCCTTTCTTCCACCAGAAAGGTCATTTTTTCCCTCATTTTTTTGTTTTGTTTTGGTGTTACTTTCTCTCTTTTTAAAAAAATTTTTAGTTGATGGTGCTGAGAATTAAATCCAGTGCTTCACACATGCGAGGCAAGCACTCTGCCACGGAACCACAACCCCAGCCTCCTCTTTCTTTAAAGCATCTTTATTCTCAGCTTTATCTTACCTGAGAGTAAGGTAACTGCCTGGTTAAAATTCCTATCAACAACAGCTGGCTAACCTTTTGCTTTGCAAAAATACCAAGTCCAGGCAGCATGAAAAAGTAACCAGCAAGGGGAAACTCTTAAGTGATTTTCCAGTAAAGAACCATTTAAGGAACTACAATGGCAAGTTCAAAGTATGGTTATTTATAAGATATGCCTTATAAAAACTTCTTAAGCAGCACCTACCCTGCTCCTAAACCCTACCCCAATCACCCAGAATCCACTGCAGCAGTACCCCCTAAACATTCTCAAGCAAGTTTCACCCTTCTGTATGAACTCCTGATAACTGACATGTTTGTAAAAAATGACTAAGCCACTCTATTAACCATTCTCAGAATTGTTCCTGTCCTTCTCTCTCTCCCTGCCCTCATTGTAATTGGACACAACACCTTTATTTTTATGTGGTGCTGAGGATTAAACCCAGCGCCTAGAGGTGAGCGCTTTACCGCTGAGCCAAAACACCTAGCCCCTTGACTCTCTCTTTAGATATAGAAGACCTATCTTCCTCACTGCAGGGGGAAGGTGTGGGATGCCATATATAATGCCATTAAGGTTAAGCTAAGGGGTAGGAAGCAGTGCCACCTCCTCAGGTTTCAGCAGGAAGAGGAAAGGTGTTTTTTGAAAACATGATATCCCTTCCTTAATGAGAGGTCCAGGAGATTTGGTCACCTTTTTAGAAGTCCAGAGAGGCAATCAATAAAAGCTGAACTACTTTCTCCCCTTCCCTAAACACAAGGAGTAGGTTGCCAAAAAACCAAACCCCAACACAAGACACCATATTGTTAGAAAATTTATTGGGGAAAATCAGTATTCTCAAAAAGGGATAAATTATTTAGGGGGAAGAAAATTTTCTTTCTGAAAATTCTGGAGAAGCATTTTCTGTTTGAACAATAGGGACAACTCTCCCAACACAGTGCCTTTAGGAAGAGGAGCAGCAGCTGGAGCCACCTGACCAACTCTATATTTGCATGTAGTATTCAGATGGGGCAAGGGTTCCTTGTGCGGCATGGATGGGTGATGCTTCTGACATATCTTTTCCTGTACTGTCACACTTTTCTGGGGCTGTCTGCCCCTGTCCATGACCCATTTATTATTCCCTGTAGGATACCTCTGACCAGCAAAGCCAACTTCTTGGCTGCAGGATTTGGCACTTGGCACCTTAGCACAGGGAGTATTGACATTGAAGGCATGTTTCTGGATGGGTTCTGCCTGAACCGGCAATCCAGTCTTGTGCTGAATTTTCCCAGGCCTCATGGGGGTGGAAAGAGGCTTTTGCGGGGCGGTGGCCTCTACTCCATGCCGACCTGCTAGTTTCTCCTCTAGGATCTTCCCAATGTCTGTCATGATTTTCTGAGCTTCAGTATTCCCAGTAAAGGCAGCTCTCTTCTTAGCTGGGTTTCTGCCTTGCACAGATGATGAAGAGCTGCCATTTTTCAGAGAACCTTCTTGCCCTCTGCCTTTCATACCAAGATAAAGCCTTTGAAAAAAGTGTTTGAACTGGCTTTTAAAATTGTTTTCAGGAGAAGGCTGTCCCTTCAGTGATGGGGCTGAGGACTTGCTCCCAAGTGCCTCCTTTAGTGTTCTGTCTTGAGGGTGGGGGAGCTTCCCTCTAGGTTGGCGTGTCACCAACCCTGCATCCCCTCCACCAAACTCGCCTGTTTGGGGTACCAGAGGGCACACCCTTTTTGATGCTAATGGTATATTCTTATCCTGACACTTGCATAAGACATGTGTAGGGATCCCGGGTTCTTGCCCCTGCTCTGTGTTGATCCCTCTGTTGTCACAGTGGGCTTGTAGAACCTGGGGAGCTGCCATGTCCCCACTAGAGGCACTATGAAAATGAGTGAAGGAAGTCAAGGTCTTGCAAGTCAAGGTTTTGGGAGCTAAGGTCTTGGAAGCCAGGGTCTTGGAAGTCAACTTATCTGAGGCCAGAGACAACTCAGTAGAAAAGGCTGGAACCAGGCCCCGCTCCCTGCTCTCAATTTTCCTCTTCAACTCATTAAGCAACTGATTTTTAAGATCTAATGATTTGGAATCTTTGAGAACTGATATTCCTTCTGGGGGCCTTTCAATGGTTAGGGTTGATTCAACTTTATTCATATTCATATCTGTCACTGAGGAGCTTTCTGACTCTGTGGTCGTCAGGCTGTTCGTAGACTGTGATCGAATAGCACAAAGCTCCTTTGCCTTGAATATCTCCCTGGACTTGTTAGACATGGGAAAATATTCTAAATTCTTAATAATTTTTCTCTGAATCTTTTCTATACTATTGCTGGGACTCACTCCTTTATTCCATGATTTGGGTCTGGCCCCAGCCTGCTTTGTGGGCAACTTTGGGCTGCATTTATTGGCTATTACAGTCTGTTTCTGACTGTCTTTATCTTTGTCACTGTGTGGGAAGGGCAACGAAGCCCGTCTATCACCCTCAATTGCCTTGACATTCTCTGTAAGCTCAGGGTTGGTGTGAGAGGGTGAATGTGTTAGGGCCCTCTTATTTTCCTTGCTCACAGGTGAAGTGGCAGAAAGAGGATGATCTAGAGTAGGGCCTGAAATTATTGTTCCCACCTTGTTGATGTGAAAAGTACTAATGCTTTCTTTAAGGGGCTTGGAGATCCCAATTTTGGAATCCTTGCCAGAAGTAAGACTGGATGAGGAGGAAATGTTGGAGCGAACTGAGGACCAGGATGGGGTTCCTTTCATTTTGAAGATGTCTATGGATTCCTGAACCTTTTGGGGAAGCCCACACATCATCCTCTTATGGAACAGTTTAATATGGTCTTCCAAGATCTTTTGTTTGTTGGAACCAAGGAAGGATATATCCTGGGAGGTATTGAGGCCCTTGTCCTTACACACCAGTGGTACCAAATCTCTGTGTTTTGTTTGGCTAGGGGATTTCTCAGGACTAATCAATACTGGCTCCATAGAATGCAATGATCTATTCACAGTGCCAGGCATCTGACACACATTGATTTCCTCAAATTTCTTGCTCAAATGTATTTCTAGGGCTTCTGTCAGTTGTTTCTGAACTGAGCTCTCCTCTGAGATCTTTGATTTTTTTCCAAAAAGACTATTCAATTCGTTTTTTAGGTTTGTCTTAAACTCAGAGTCCAGATCATTATCTGGAGCCCCCTCTGAGTCACTCAATGGATCATCTTTTGTGCCAATCTCTAGACTATTTACTTTCTTCATTCTCTCCCCTAGTGGAAGTAATTCTGAGCTCTTCTCATGGAAACTTCTGGGATGGCTCAATTGTAAATCTTTGCTACTTTGACCCTTAAACAAAGAGATCCATGAAAGTCCATAAGTGGACTTTGACTCAGATATCTCGGAAATTTTTGTTTCAGGACTCATCCTTGATGACAGAGACTCATGGACTCTGCAGGGCAGACCCCACCGGTGTTGAATAAGCCTTTTCTGAAGGTGGTGCTCTAGCTTCTTCCGAAGCTCTTTTTTGAGGGGAAAATCTCCCGGAATGATGGTTGTTGGAGCATAAGCCTTGGAGGACCGTCTATCAGATAAAACACTGGGAGCTGCAGGACAAAACTCTTCCTTGGATTTTTGAACCACAGAGGGTAAACCCCACAAACTTTCCTGTCCTTTCTGTAATACATTATATTCCAAGTCATGAATTTTGGATGGCATGAGAGAGTGTACCTCATCCTGGAATCTATGAATCCTCACTCCACCATCACTAACCTGAGATGAAATGGGTGGTGACAAGGTAGGGACTGAAAATTGAAACTGGTCCTGGGGTGGGACAGGAGATTGGCACTGAAGCTGGTCCTGGGGTGGGACAGGAGATTGGCACAGTGCTTGGGTCAAGGGTTGAGATTGGATCTCAGGCAAGGACAGAGTTGGGGGAGGGGGTAGAACTAGAGATTCAGGGGCTTCAAAGGAACTAGGCATTGAATTGAAGCAGACATAGGTTGAACAGTCACCTGATTCAGGTACTATAGATTTCAAGGACTCACTAAGCAAAGATGGGAGACCCCAGAAGAATTGGGTACATTTTTTAGGTAAGTTATCCTCAAAGGTCTTAGGATCTGAGGACTGGTGGTCTACCTGCAATCCCTCTGATTTGCCTTCACTGCTCTGTGAAGGAAGGGAGACAGGTGAGTCCTGTTGCTCAGCAACTGACTCTAACCTTTTCCCTGAAGAATTCAATTGGTCGTCTGGCTTAAGTTCTTTTGGAAAAGATTTTTTTTCCTTTTTCTTTTTGTTCTGCATCAGGAAATCACCCTTCTTTTTTATATGTCTCTCCAGAAGGGCCAAGACATCAGGGCATAGAAATGAGAGGTTTCCGGGCTCTACAAGGATGGCTGTAGTATCACTCTCAAAAGAGGCCTCAGGAGGATGGAGGTCGAGGAGGTTTTTGTCATCATCAGAGTGCTCCAATTTAGATGGAGACAAGTTTTCAGCATGAGACTGGTTTCCAGAGAACTCTGACACTGGAAGGCTTGCACTGTCAGTGCATGTGGTTGTTGGGACATTAGTAGACAACCCATCAGGGCTATCCACCAGAGACAAAGGGGCTTCTGGTTGGAGAACAGGTTTTGCTTCTTGACTGTCAGTTGGTGGGGGAAGGGTTGGAACAGGTGGGGGAGGAGTTGGAACAGATGTTTGAGGTGGGATATGATCCACTGGCAATTTTGAACTCAAGGGAGAAGGCTCTGGTGGCAGAGAGTCACCCAGTAATGAGGGTCCAGGTAGGTCCATTAAAGGGGTAATTTGGTCAGGTGAACGAATAGAGGAAGGAAATAGAGTTGGCTCAGTTAAAGGAGTTGAAACTGAAGCTCCCGGAGGGATTGCAGAGACAACATCGGACAGAAAAACTGATGACTTTCTCACAGACGTCACGGAAGACACACGGGACACAGAATTAAGAGCATCTTCCAAGGACGCCTTACAGATCAGTTGACTGACCTCAGCTGCTGTTCTATTACACACCCTACAGAGCGGGTCTGGACATAACAGTCGCCGAAAGCGGAGGAAATCATTATTCTGGCTCATGGGACTGTAAGAGAAAGAAAGCCAAAGCTGTAACCAGAACCACTACAAGGTAAGCAAGATCTGCAGTTCTATGGGTGGTGGGGAGCCCGCTACCTGCTCTACATTCCACACATCTATGACCTCACAATACCCTCCCCTCCCAAGTTCTTTATTCACATACCCATGGCTATGGCTATCCCTCCTGTGATTAGGGCATGTTGCGAAGAATTCCTGGGGGACTGAATAAAGCATGCTAGGAAAGGAATCAGTAAAGGGAAATGACTAATCACCTTTTCAGAATAGAAAGCAGCTTCCTCCCCTCCTCTACTTCTCTCCGGCAAGTTCTCCGACCTGGAAAACCAGGACAGTTGGTTATATATAGTAAAGGTAAAAACACAGGTTATCATTCAGGAGTTTTTACAGGAAACAGGATATTAAAGTCAGAAAGCCCTAAAAATCTGCAGATAAGGTCATAAGTGTCAGGGATAATAGTAAGAAGGTTCACAGGTATATGTGGTTCCATTTAGAAAGTACTTTCACCTGTACCATCCTACATGCTGCTCAAAACCACCACCTGAAGCACAAGGATCAGTAGCTAACTCAGGATGAATCTAATCAGCCAAGAATTAGAGTAGTTTACACCATGTCACCAGACAGAAATTCTGACTCCAAGACAATCAGGGGTCTTTGGACATCTCACAGGGCCACCTACTTGGCAGTAAATGTCCAAGGCCCAGGTCCATCACTACTTCATTCACACCCAAGGAAGGGTGGGCAGGGAAGGGACTCTGAAGAATCTCTCAGGTCTCACTGCCTTCTCCTGAGCCTCTCCTCTGAGACCCTGCTTCCTGAGAGAGACTGCACCTAGAAACTGACATCCTCCAAGATCATGGAGCTGTAGGGAGATAGGAAAGTTCACCCTTATAGAGCTCAGGTTGAACAGGCAGAACCTTACCTTTAGATACTCCATTTCTCCTTCTCTTTGTTCCCTGACACTGAAAACAAAAAGAAAAGAATGAGGGGCTGGGGCTCATTTCTTTTACTCCTTTTGTTAACAAGCTTAGACATTCATTAGGCAAGAATTGGACAACTCTTCATTTTTAATTAGTAGAAATTGTATTCCTTCCTTTTATTAATCTTGAAGGGCAATGAAATATTTTCAATTTTTTACTTCTTTGATAATTTCAAAGGACATTTTTTTCTGTGAGATTCCACATTTGATGGTCTTAAACCCTCTGCGGAAGGAGGGCATAGAATCTGAGGCCAACAGTTACGTCTGGGCTCCCCCGGGGAACCCTGTGTCCTGGGGCAGAGCTCAGGCTACAGGCTCTACTCTGAGGTCAGCACTGCTGTCCTGATCAGCCCAATATGAAGGCTGGGTGAAGCACATCTGACATGGGAATGAGACTCAGAATCTAGTCAGAAGAGACCTGTCTCCTTCAGAGAAGCCACACTCTCTATCCAAACCAATCTGGAACCCTCCATCACACCCCAAAAGATAGTCTGTGAGCTTCAGATGGAAACCTTAGTCCTTCCCAAACCTCTGACTTCTTTCCCTAAAGAGTGAAGTTCTATCTTGTCCTCAGACTTCCCAAGTCACATCTCCTTTGAGCCAACCAAACATTTAGTAATGTGAGAATGGAAATAACAAATCACATTTGACATTTCACAAAACATTTCACATTTGACAAAATCAAGAAACTCCCTTGGGAGTTCACTCTGCTTCCTTACCTTCTTCTGGATGGCTTTATTTTTCTCGAGTGTTGGTGAAAATCGTTTCAATACCTGAAAGGACAGGTATAGAAAAAGCAACACCAACCCACTCAAAATGGTACTTTGGGGATCAATATCCCAAAGAATTGAACCAAGATCAACCATGGTTCAGTATGGCTATTCAGCAAAGAGAAAACATTCTTCATCTTCTGAATTGCTCGGTTGCCTAAGGCAAATGAGTTCTGAAGGTGCCTGGGCTTCTCTATATCTCCAGGCTTGCATCACACACCATTGAAGAGTCACAAAGGGAAAGGATTCTGAGGGTGGGGAGAGAAGACTTGAGGAGGTTGTGCCCCTCCTCCACCTGCCCACCAGCCAGCAGATCCTTCTGCTCAGGTCTGTTGTTCCATTTCCCACTCGACTCTTTCCTCATATCATGCCTTCATTATCTCAGGGAGCATTCCTGTTTGTTTCATGTGTAACCAAGATGTTTTACATGAGTCCCTTTTTACTGTTTGGATCCCTTGACTTACACCCCACCAATTCCACTGCCTTGAAAATCTGACATACACTGCCTGGAATTTTTGCTTGTACCAAGACATTTACACTCTTGGGTCACCTACATCCTTAAATCTATCTTATCTACAGAAAGCTTTTGCTTTACTCTAACTCACATGTAAAACTTAATGTTCTTTCATACTTATGTAGTTTTATAAGTTTCAATAGCAAATTTTTGTTTCAATCAGCCTGTAGTGTCTTCAATCACAGTGGCTCACTCTCATTAAAACTAATAATTTGTTAGTCAACACTGTGAAACAAAAATAAACATTAAAAAAAATCTAAATAAAATTGAAACTTCAAGTGATCTTGGAGATAAGTTTATAACGCTTGTTTTTTTCTGAAGTAGTGAAGATTAAACATAACAAAGACTATTGGATGTGCTCTATTTCCCACCCCCTGACAAATTGATCCAGTGTTTTCAAATCTGATAATCAACCATCTTCTCATTTTTTTTCAATTCTTCATTCATTATTTTGATCTAACTTGCTTTTAGCTACCTAAAATTCAAATATTCCCTGCCTCCATATCAATTTCATAATGCTTATATGACTTTCTCAAACCAGGAAGAGGTTATGGTGTGCTAAGGAATTGAACCCTCAGTCCTTGGTGGCAGGAAGCCACCTAAAATGTCAGAACCTTAGGGCAGATTCTAGTCTTGAAGAGCATTACCCTTGTGGGACACATAATTTTGATATTTTCCTAAGAAAATAAGAGTGTCTTGCCATGAAAAAAGCTATTAAGATCTGTGCTATATAAGCACCCTACTACTAATGGAAAATCAACTGCCAATCATACATGATTCAAGCAAAACTTTTGATATTTAAATAGCCCCAATATTGCCCCAGCCTTCTTCTTACACCTGCTTTTTAAAACCCTTTATCATCATGACAGCTATCCTCCTAACTGTCCCCTAACTTGTCATGTCTTTTTTAAACCCTGAAACCTCTTATCTGATGCCCATAACCCAGCAGCATTATTGATCTCTTTGACAGGATAAGGCAGCCTCCAAGCCAAGCAGTCTCTATTCAGTTAGGCAGGAGCAGGTACCCTGCCTTGAAGATCCCCCATCCTTTTGATATGCAGCCTCAGTCAGGTTTCCATTTAACAAATATTTACTAGTGAAGACTAGGAGACATGGACAGCTGTAAGTCACAGGCTCTGCCCTTATCCTTAAGGAGCTCATGTTGAGACTGTAGAGATAAGTCCTACACAGTTGGAAAGCTGTACAAAGGCAGAAGAAAGGTCCAGAACCCCTTAGCATTTGTTAATTCCCAAGAGATTTGTGGAGTAGATCAGAGACTGTGGGTGTTAACAGCTAGAACACATCATGCTCTGTACCAAGGCTTCCCTGCCTGTCTCCCCAGTTTTCTGAAACAAAATCACAATCCTTTGGGAAGATAAAGAAAATCTTTTCTCTCTCTCTCTCTCTCTCCCTTTCTCTCTCTCTCTCTCTCTCTCTCTCTCTCTCTCTCTCTCGGCAGGGGGTGGGTACTGGGGATTGAACTCAGGGCCACTCGACCACTAAGCCCCATCCCCAGCCTTATTTTGTATTTGAGATAGGATCTCATTGAGTTTCTTAGCACCTCCCCATTGCTGAGGCTGACTTAGAACTCATGATCCTCCTGTCTCAGCCTCCCAAGCTGCTGGGGATCACAAGCATGTGCCATAGTGCCCAGCACCTGTTCTCTTTAAAATGGCATTGTTGGCTATGTATTCTTTTTTTTTTTCAGAAGAAGATATATTTAATTTTATTTTTCCATATTTTATTGTTACATTATAGTTTCACATAATGGTAGGATTCATTGTTACAGATTCATACATGCACACAATATAACAATATAACTTGGCCAATATCATTCCCCAAGATTTCCCCTTTTCCTCACTTTCTCCTTCCACTGGCCCCTTTCTTCTGCTCTTCTGATCTTCCTTCAATTTTCATGAGGTTCTGCTCAACCATTCTTTTCCTCTTTCCTCTATAGTTTCTACATGAGAGAAAAAAAGCACACAACCCTTGACTTTCTGAGTTTGACTTATTTTAGTTAACATAATATTCTCAAGTTCCATCCATTTTCCTGAAAATGACATGATTTAAAACTCCTTTGTGTATGTACGCCACAGATTCCTTTCACAGATTCACAGATCCATTCATCCATGTTGGACACCTAGGCTGGGTCAATAGTTTGACTATTGTGAATTGTGCTGCTATAGTATATTTCTTAGGATAAATGCCAAGGAGTGGTATAGCTGGATCATAAGGTGTTCCCATGCCTAGTCTTTAGAGGAACCTCCATACTGATTTTCATAAAGGTTGTACTAATTTACAACCCTACCAGCAGGATAAAAGTATTTCTTTTAAAAAATAAATGTTGGCAAGGATGTGAGGGAAAAATATATAATCATCCATTGTTGGTGGAACCAACCTAGGTGTACTTCAACAAATGGGTAAAGAAAATGTGGTATATATACACAATGTAATTTTACTCAGCCATAAAGAAGAATTATGGCATTGTAGAGGTCTTTCACCTCCTTGGCTAGATTTATTCCTAAGGTCATTGGGTTTTGAGATTTTTTGGTTTACTTTTTGTTTGTTTGTTTGTTTGTTTGTTTGTTTTTTTTTTTAGCTATTTTGGATAAGATTTCTCAGCAGATTCATTGTTGATATAGAAGAAAATTATTGACTTTTGTATGTTGATTTTTTAACCTGTTACTTAGTTGAATTTATTAATTCTAGCAGTCTTCTGGTAAATATTTATGGATCTTATACGTATGGGTTCATATCTGCAAACATATAAACATATCTGATAATTTGACTTCTTCCTCTCTTATTTTTATCCTTTTTTTCCTTCTCTTGCCTAATTGCTCTGACTATAATTCCTAGCACTACATTGGACTAGAGTGGTAAAAGCAGTCACCCTTGTCCCAAATCTTAAAGGAAATACTTTCAATTTTCCTCCATTCACAAAGATGTTGGTTTCAGACTTATCATAAATAGCCTTTATGATGTCAACATAAGATCATTCTATCCTAGGCTAAAGAAAAATTAAAGGGACATGAATAGGAAAAGAAGAGTTCAGACTATCCCTATTTGCCAATGACATGACTCATGATTCTCTATTTAGGAAAAAAAAAAAAAAAACTTTACCAAAAACTTCTAGAACTCATAAACAAATTCAACAAAGTAGCAGGATATAAAATCAACACCCATAAATCAATTGTGTTCCTATAGACCAATGATAAATTAGCTAAAAAATAAATTAGGAAAGCTATCCCATTCATAATAGCCTCAAAAAGAAAAAAAAAAAGAAGAAGAAGTACTTAGGAATCAATCTAACAGTAGAGGTGAAAGACCTATACAATAAAAACTACAGAACACTCCAGAAAGAAATTGAAGAAGACCTTAGAAAATGCAAAATCCCCCATGTTCATGGATAGGCAAATTAGTATTATCAAAATGGTCATGCTCTCAAAAGCACTAAACAGATTTAATGTAATTCCCATTAAAATTCCAATGATGTTCTTCATAGAAATGGAAAAAGCAGTTATGAAATTTATTTGGAAAAACAAGAAGCCCAGAATAGCCAAAGCAATCCTTAGTGAGAAAAGTGATGCAGGAGGCATCACAACACCAGATTTTACATGATACTGCAGAGCCATAGTAACAAAAATGCCATGGTACTGGCACCGAAACAGACATGAAGACCAATGGTACAGAATAGAAGACATAGAGACAAACCCACATAAAAACAGTTATCTCATACTAGACAAAGGCACCATAAGCATACATTGGAGAAAAGATAGCCTCTCCAACAAATGGGTGCTGGGAAAACTGAAAGTTCGTGCATATCAAAATGAAATTAAACCCCTATCTCTCACCCTGCACAAAACTTAACCTGAAGTGGATCAAGGACCTAGGCATTAGACCTGAGACCCTGAACCTACTAGAAGAAAAAGCAGGCCCAAATCTCCATCATTCAGCTTAGGAACCAACTTCCTCAACAAGATTCCTAAAGCACAAGAAGTAAAATCAAGAATTAATAAATAGGATGGTATCAAACTAAAAACTTTTTCACAGCAAAGGAAATAAGAATGTGAAGAGAAAGCCTATGGAATGAGCGAAAATCTTTGCCACTGCAACATACACACACACACACACACACACACACACACACACTAATCTCCAGGATATATAAAGAACTCAAAAACTTAACACCAAAACCACAAATAACCCATCAATAAATGGGCAAAGGACTTGAACAGACACTTCACAGAAGAAGAATTATGATCAGTCAACAAATATATGAAAAAATTTTCAACATCTCTAGCATTTAAAGAAATGCAAATTAAGACTACATTAAGATTTTTATCTCACTCCAGTCAGATGGCAATTATCAACAATCAAGTAACAATAAATGTTGGGGAGGATGTGGGGGGAAAGGTATTGCAAATTGTTGCAACCACTCTGGAAAGCAGTATGGAGATTCCTCAGAAAACTTGGAATGGAACCACCATTTGACCCACTCATCCCACCAAAAGGACTTAAAATCAGAATACTACAGTGACACAGCCACATCAATGTTTATAGAAGCTCATTTCACAATAGCTAAGCTATGGAACCAACCTAGGTACCCTTCAACAAATGAATGGATAAAGAAAATGTGGTAGGGGTGAGGATGTGGCTGAGTGGCAGAGTACTTGTCTTGCATGTGTGAAGCACTGGGTTCGATCCTTAGCACCACACAAAAACGAAATAAATAAATGAAGGCATGCTGTCCATATACAACTGTAAAAAAAAAAGAAAAATGTGGTATATATACACAATGGAATATTACTCGGTCATGAAGAAAACTAATGACATTTTCCAGCAAATGGATGGAACTGAAAACTATCATGCTAAGTGACATAAGCCAATTCCCAAAATACAAAAGCTGAATGTTCTCTCTGATATGTGGATGCCAGCACACAATAAGGGGTGCAGTGTTGGTAGGAAGAATAGAAGTTCATTGGATTAAACAAAGAGGAATGAAGGGAAGGGAGGGGAATGGGAATAGGAAAGACCATAAAATGAATCAGACATAACTTGTCTATGTTTAAATATGAATACACAACCAATGTAACTCCACATTGTGTATAACCACAAGAATGGGAAGTCATACCCCATGTATGTATAATATGTCAAAGTACACTATATATAGATAGATGCACACACACACACACATATATATACATATATATGACAATACAATAAGTACACAGACACCACATACACACACACGCGCGCATGCATACACACACACACACACACATGTCGCGACCCCTTGCCCGCAAGGAAGACGCAACTCGAGAATCTTCTTTCAACAGTTTATTCAGGTCCCTGGATATTTCTTCTTCTTTCTCTCTGATGCCCCTCCCAGCCTTAATAAAGCATCCCAAGCCCCAATGCAAAGCTGCCGCGTGGAGCTTTCTCACAGGGTGGTGAAAAATCATGTGCCAACTTTCCCAGATAAGGAGTTGTTTGTCACAGACCACAGCGGAGCCAGCGTCATCTTGTAATGGCGACCATAATCTGCAGAAACGGCAGAAGCGGCTCACCACAGTTCCCCCTTTTCTATTTTATTAAAACAATACAGGCGAGAGTAGAGGTCCTATCCCACTGTGCAGAAGTGGCTGCATAGTATGGCTCAGTCCCAAGGAGGGCCCTTCCCCAGATCTGAGGCCATATCAGCCGACGCCTTTTTTCGTGGGGCGGGGCGTGAACGCGTCTAACCCGCATGCAATAGGACATGCTCTCCTTGAGGTCCTCTTCAAGGATCACTCAAGTGCAGTGCCTTGCCTCGCATCCTGTATCGTGACGATGGTGGACGAAGGGGGATAGCTGAGGCTGAACTGTGGCTGTTTATAACGACAAACAAGTTGACAGCACCCTGAAAGAAAGGCACGAACTTCAAGGCGATAGAAAAGCACTAGTGTGGAAACCCATCTGCGTGCAATGGCAGTAAGACCGGCAGAGTGCAAGGGCTTTCCAACACTAAGAGAATAACAAGGAAAGTCATGTCGATCCCAGTGCAATGTTATAATAACTTGGGGTGTAACGACCATGACAAAGGTTTACTGCTTAAGATGCGCAAGCCAGACTTGAGGCGAGTTGCCATTTTCTAAAGCTGCAAGAGCTTGTATGATCATAGCCTTTTCTTGTGCATGGCGAGTCTTAAGGCGACAGAGAAGCCACAAACAGAGTACAACACTGAAGCAACACATTGCACCAAAAATGCCTACTCCCACCCACTCTTTGAAGAAGGAAAAAGCAGAAGATATCCAATCGGTGAATTGACCCAAAGTCACTGGTTCGACACGGGTACTATTCAAAACAGCAATCTGAGTTAGTTGAGACTGGATCAAGTTTTCTGCTTCCATGGACCAGGTTCCGGATAAATATTCCCCGATGATGCGGGAGGCATTTCTGGAATCATAAAATCTGACAGAGGTTATGCATAAATGTGCACGTTGATCAATACAACCCAAAAGCACCAAGTCGGCCAATTCTTCTACCTGAGCTTGGAGTAAATCTATTCTTTGGTTGGCAGCTAAAATCCCTGACAAAATATGTTGATTAATTGAATTTTGGGACTCAAGTATGGTAGAAGTTTGTTGAACAACTTGATTAATGGTGGCAGCAGTTTGTACTTGACTGGCCATGGCCACTCCGGCCGTAACCGCTGCAGCAGCAGACACTGCCACAGCTGTCACTATAGCTGCCGTAATTCCAAAATCTCTACGGGCTCTAATCAGTTCAACAATAGGAAATGACTCTGGATCTGCAGTAACCGGGATCGGGACAAAGGTTGGAAATTTTCATAACCACTGCCGTAGTCCAGGAGCCATTCCAACACTCAGACAAATAACAGGTAATATTAGAGCAATTAAGCATCCCCTGTAATGTAACATTAGCCAAAAGAAACAGGAACGGAGATTGAAGACGGACTGCTGCGGAGGGTAATGTAGCATTAGATAATTGTGAATTATTTGCAGAAATTTTAAGCCTCCTACCTCACTCCGAGTCTTGGGTACTGCCAGAAACATTAAACAGCCAACTTTGGACTCCTAATATTTCCCTGGGGAAACACAAGCGCGGACTAGACTAGCCCAATCTGAGGGAGTCATGCAAAATCTAGTAAGTCCCTCCACCTGAGTGAGAGTGAAAGCGGCATCTATGCCATAAGTGCGGACAGATTCTGCCAAGGTTTTAATTAGCTTAAAGTCTAAAGGCTCATGATATCTTCCCCTGTTATTGTCCTGAAATACAGGGTATGCAAGTCCCATATCTGTTTTAACTGTCCTCCAAACTTGTGCATGAAAAGATCTCCCGGAACCTTGGCTCCCCCCCACATACGGAGGTGGGGCAATCGGCACCATATCTTCTTCTAGATATTCTACCTCCTCCTCCTCAGAGTTTTGTTGACCGATGTTAACTCCCTTCCCCTTCTTACAGTAGGCCTGCGTGCCCTGTGTCTCCTTTTTCTTCTTTTTCATTTTTATCTTATGTAGTTGTTGTAACAATATATCAAGGTCCTCAGAACTCTCTGAGTCGCTTGTGTTCTCAGGCGTTTTTAATTCGGTCAAGTCTGGGTAGAGCCTTCTCCTATTTTTATCTTCAGGCTCTTTTGCCTTCTCACTACTGTTACTTTTAATACTCTCTGCCACTTCACTACATGATCCTTCAGATTTTTCCTCATGCAATTGCTCAAGAATAGCTTGACCCTCACTCACAGCTTCCTGGCATTTACCATCTGTAAGGCAACCACGGACCATTTTCCAAAGGGGTATCACCCCACCCTCTAATATGCCCTGCTCAGAAGCAAAGTCAAGATCTTTGCCTAATTTATCCCAACTAGGCACAGTAAGGCTGCCCGAAAATGCAAACCACGGTGCAGCGATATCTATCTTCTGTAAAAATCTCTGTAAAGTACTATGTTTCACTTCCAGTCCCTTGGAACGTAACAGGCCATCTAGGGCCAGGAGAAGCGGACTTGAAGATGCGGCACCCATGACACAACAACAAAGGAAGCACAAAAAAAAGAAAGCGAAAGTAGGAGCGAAAGTACACAGTGCAGCTGCAATAAAATGTAAGGCTCTCTCTTTCATTACAGAGGAGCTGTCCCGCTTTGGTCGCGGATCCCACTTACTAGGGACTAACCCCGCTTTGATCGCGGATCCCACTTATTGGGACTAACCCCGCTTTGGTCGCGGATCCCACTTACCTGGGACTAACCGGTGCACCACCCCTGACTGTTGAAAGTTCTGGTTCCCGGGTCTCGGCGCCACTTGTCGCGACCCCTTGCCCGCAAGGAAGACGCAACTCGAGAATCTTCTTTCAACAGTTTATTCAGGTCCCTGGATATTTCTTCTTCTTTCTCTCTGATGCCCCTCCCAGCCTTAATAAAGCATCCCAAGCCCCAATGCAAAGCTGCCGCGTGGAGCTTTCTCACAGGGTGGTGAAAAATCATGTGCCAACTTTCCCAGATAAGGAGTTGTTTGTCACAGACCACAGCGGAGCCAGCGTCATCTTGTAATGGCGACCATAATCTGCAGAAACGGCAGAAGCGGCTCACCACA